GCTAGAGAGTAGCCCCCGCTTGCTGCAGCTAGAGAAAGCCTGGGGTCAGCAACGAAAACCTAGCATAGCCAAAGAAAAAGTTAGAAAAAGAAGAATGCAGATTCCTGGGACTTCCCTGGTCGTCTGGTGGCTAAGACTCCACTCTCCCATGGCAGGGGGCCCTTGTTCCATCTTTGGTCAGGGGACTAGATCCCACATGCTGCAACGAAGAGTTCTCATGCTTTGGCTAGAGATCCCACATGTTGAAATGAGGATCAAATGTTCCGTATGCTGCAACTAAGACCTGGCACAGCCAAAAAAAAAAAAAAAAAAAAAAATAAATAGTTTTTAAAAAAGGATACAGATTCCTGAACCCCAGATTGGGGAATGCATATTTTCAAATGAGTGATCCAGGAAATTCTGACATAAGTGGTACCAAATCAAAAACTTGGATGAGTCATCTAAGAAAGAGAGACTTGAATTTTGAACCTGTGGCTATCATCTCCCTACGCCTTACTTCATCTGTAAAGTGGAGGCGATCATGGTTCCTACTTCATGGTGGCGTTGAGGGGGTTAAATAGGGTTAAGCCCTGTAGTGCTCAGCACCATCCTGCCACATGATAAACACAGAGGAAGTGGTTACTGTCATCACAGCATCATGCAGTAGAATTCTTAAGTTCTTCTCCCTGCCCTTTGACGTTAAGTGAAAAAAAATTTTTTTTTTGATGTATTTAACTCAGAAGAGTGCATCGTTTTATTCAAATTCTCAAAGGGTCCTTTGTCTAAAGAAGGTTGAGCAAGGTTGAGCATGTGTTGGCCCTTTGACCTGGGTCCAGCCCCTCTCAAAGAGACAGCAGTGAGCGGTCCTGAAGAGAGATCTCAGTTCCCTGCCCAGGATTTGAACCTGCATGAAAACCAGGAATCCCAGCCACTAGACCACCATGGTATAGAGGCTAGAAGCAGAGTGGCCCTGACTTTTGCCCCTCTTTGAAAGCAAGACTGTTTCAAGGAGGTAAAAACCAGAGAGAAAGGGTTTGGTTGTCCTCTCTAATGAGGAGCACATTGAAGAGGAGGTATAAATCACTTACACAGGGCAGTTCTTTTGGGTCTTTGTGTACCTTTGGCCATTATCTTGTTTCTTTCTTCACACCTGCCCTGCCCTAGAAGCCTCCCCAAGATGTGTGCACAACTTTTTCCTAAGATAAATTCCACTGAAGAGGCCTGCGGGGGGTATGTCCACACTTATTATGGGGTGGTGCCCACTCCCTTTTTCACTCCCAAGGAATCTTTTTGCATTTGTGCAGTAGGGGAAGTTTCCTTGACCTCAGGAGTGGTTATCATATCTCTTTACTCCAGCAGAGCTCAGCTTTTGCCACTAACTTTGTCCTTGGAATGCATGGGGGAAAAGAAAGCTTCAATTATACTCCCCTTGACAAATAACAGCTGTCCAACCCAGTGGCCCATCTGTCTTCCACCTCACCAGGAGCCCTGCATCCTTCTGGCCGGAGCCTCTTGACCACACCCCATGGGTCGACTTCATTCCAGAGCCTGGAAGGATGACTTTAAAGGAGTCTCTGGGACTCAGTGAAAGGACAAGGTAGTTGGTACAGCAAGGACAAAGATCTGGAGGTGAGATTGCGCTGGAGTTCACAGGGACAGTAAACTGATAGAAAAAGAGGCAGTTTGGGGTCTGATCACAAACCATTTAGAATGCCAGGTAAAGGAGTTAGGGCTGGGGGTGTAGGGAGTCATGGACAATTTCTGAGCAGAGAAATGGCAGAATCCCCACCATGACTCAGCAAAGCCCTGCTGTCTCAGTGATGGCGGTTAGGGAAGAGAGTGGCCCAGTTGTTTAGGAAGGGAACTCTGGATGCAGAAGCCGGCTCGTTGTGAGCGGCAACTGTGATGTTCCTTCCTGGGAGTCCTTGAAGGGCTCATCACAGCTGACTGCTCTGTCTGCATTCTCCACCCAGGTGTGCAGGGACCCATTGTTCAGGCTGGAATGTTAAGGCCAGCAGTGGTGTAGCAGAGGGAAAATTAAACTCCTGGTGTGTCCTTAGGAAAGCCACCTGTGTCTCAGCCTCAGTTTTCCTATAGATGAAATGAGGAGTCAGGAAACCTGGGTGAGTTTGTGACCGCTTCTACCTGACTCTGAGACCTGCTCTCATAGGATGGGGATGGGAAACATGTGTCGGTGCTCCCTGAGTACTGGCTTTTTTTTTTTTTTTAAAGATATGGTTAAAGTACAGTGTTATAAAGTTTCAGGTGTACAACTTAGTGATTTGCAATTTTTTAAAGTTATACTCCATTTATAATTATTTATATAAGCAACAGTTAGAACTGGACATGGAACAGCAGACTGGTTCCAAACTGCTGCTGCTGCTGAGTCGCTTCAGTTGTGCCCGACTCTGTGTGACCCCATGGACTGCAGCCCATCAGGCTCATCTGTCCATGGGACTTTCCAGGCAAGAGTACTGGAGTGGGTTGCCATTTCCTTCTCCAATGCAGGAAAGTGAAAAGTGAAAGTGAAGTTGCTCAGTCATGTCCGACTCTTCAGGACCCCATGGACTGCAGCCCACAAGGCTCATCTGTCCATGGGAGTTTCCAGGCAAGAGTACTGGAGTGGGTTGCCATTTCCTTCTCCAATGCAGGAAAGTGAAAAGTGAAAGTGAAGTTGCTCAGTCATGTCCGACTCTTCAGGACCCCATGGACTGCAGCTCACCAGGCTCATCTGTCCATGGGAGTTTCCAGGCAAGAGTACTGGAGTGGGGTGCCATTGCCTTCTCTGGTTCCAAATTGGGAAAGGAGTATGTCAAGGCTGTTTATTGTCACCCTACTTATTTAATATATATGCAGAGTACATCATGAGAAATGCTGGACTGGATGAAGCACAAGCTGGAATCAAGATTGCCAGGAGAAATATCAATAACCTCAGATATGCAGATGACATCACCCTTATGGCAGAAAACGAAGAACTAAAGAACCTCTTGATGAAAGTGAAAGAGGAGAGTGAAAAAGTTGGCTTAAAACTCAACATTCAGAAAACTAAGATCATGGCATCTGGTCCCATCACTTCATGGCAAATAGATAGGGAAACAGTGGAAACAGTGACAGACTTTATTTTGGGGGGCTCCAAAATCACTGCAGATAGTGACTGCAGCCATGAAATTAAAAGACGCTTGCTCCTTGGAAGAAAAGCTATGATTAACCTAGACAGCATATTAAAAGCAGAGACATTACTTTGCCAACAAAGGTCCATCTAGTCAAAGCTTTGGTTTTTCCAGTGGTCATGTATGGATGTGAGAGCCAGACTATAAAGAAAGCTGAGCACTGAAGAGCTGTGGTGTTGGAGAAGACTCTTGAGAATCCCTTGGACTGCAAGGAGATCCAACCAGTCCATCCTAAATGAAATCAGTCCTGGGTGTTCATTGGAAGGACTGATGCTGAAGCTGAAACTGCAATACTTTGGCCACCTGATGCAAAGAACTGATTCATTGGAAAAGACCCTGATCCTGGGAAAGATTGAAGGTGGGAGGAGAAGGGGAAGACAGAGGATGAGATGGTTGAATGGCATCACCGACTCAATGGACACGAGTTTGAGTCAACTCCGGGAGTTGGTGATGGACAGGGAGGCCTGGTGTGCTGCAGTCCATGGGGTCACAAAAAGTAGGATATGACTGAGTGACTGAACTGAACTGAACTAGCTGCATTTCCTGTGTTGTACAATATATCCATGTAGATTATTTGTTTGTCCATTTATTTATTTACCTGCACCATGTGGCATACCAGATCTAATTCCCTGACCCGGGATCGAACCCATGCTCCCTTGCAGTGAAAGCATGGAGTTCTAACCACTGAACTGCCAGGGAATTCCCTAGCTTTTAAGTTTTATGCATAGTAGTTTATACCTCTTAATACCCTACCCTTGTCTTGTCCCTTACTTCCTTCTCCCCACTTGTTCCTAGAGTGCTATGTTGAGTTGGGTTCTGAGATGAAATCTAGGATCAGTGGGAAAGGTCTCTGATGCATTAGCAATGTCTGCCCTGGCTGTGTCTTGGGAAGTGGCAACACATCCACTCATAGGGAAATCTTACTTTCATACAACATGAATTCAGTAATTCAGGTTGACACTTTTAGAATTTTTGCTGCATCTATGTGTTGCCTTTTTTATTAAATTGATTAATAGTTTTAAAAAATTAATTTATTTTAAAGTTATATTGCCTATTTAAATAAATTAATTTTAAGAACTGTCAGTTTAATAATAATGAAGATAACACATAGATGTAGCAAAAAATTAATTTTAAAATTATATTGCCTATTTGGGGTGTCCCTGATGGCTCAGCGGGTAAAATAATCCTCCTGCAGTGTAGGAGACACAGGAGACACGGGTTCGATCCCTGGGTCTGGTAGATCCCTTGGAGGAGGGAATGGCAACCCACTCCAGTATTCTTGCCTGGAGAATTCCATGGACAGAGGAGCCTGGTGAGCTACTCCATGAACCCATGGAGTTGCAAAGAGTCAGACATGACTGAGCAATTAACACAAAGTGTCTTTAGATCAACAAAAGGACAGAAAAAAATCTTTTTTATCCAAATTTCATTTTTAAAGTCATCTTTTTTTTGATGTTAGTGTATGTACAGAAGAATACACAAATCTTAAATGTACAGTATCATGCATTGAAAATCAGGAAACTCTAAAAGTAAATGGACCCATCTAGTCACCTCTCAGATTAAGGAAGAGAATAATAAAAAAAAGAAATCATTTAACTATTAAAAAAAAAAAGAGAGAGAGAGCTCAGCCAGTTCTCCACAAGCACTGATCATGTGTCTTATGTTTGTGAGATAATTGGGCAGCTTCTGTGAAGTGCTTGTTTAAGTCTTTGGCTCATTTTTCAATTGTGTGGTCTGTCTTTTAATGATTGGTTTGTAGGGCTTCATTATATCTTCTAGAAGCAAGTCTATTGTTGATTATAAATATTACAACCATCTTCTAATCTTTGTTTTGTTTTTTCTTTCTCTCAGTAGTGTCCTTTGATAAACAGAAATTCCGGATTTTAAAGCAGTCTGAATTTTTAGTCTTTTCCTATGTGATTGCTAATTTTTTAATTCTGTTTAAGAAATCTTTGCAGCTCAAAGTCACCAAGAAATTCTCCCATGTTTGACATAGGAGCTTTATTTTATCTTTAACATTTAGGCTACGTGGAATTGATTTTTGTGTATAGCAAGGTAGGGGTCTAAATTACATTTTCTCCATATAGCTAACCTGCAGATCTAGCACCATTTGTTGAAAAGATAATCCTTGTCCCCATGCACTGCGGGAATCCCATTTAAAAAAATTTGAGTATCAACTGAATCATGGGTTTGATGTGCTAATTTATTTTTCCCCTATGTTATCTTCTAAGAGTTTCATATTTTGCATTTCAGGTTTAGGTTTGTGATTCATTTTGAGTTAATTTTTGTGAAGGCTGTAAAGTCTGTGCCTACATGTATTTATTTTTGTATGTGGGTGTCCAGTTGTTTCAGCTCCATTTGTTGGAACTAATTTATTTTTGTAGTTTACGTTAAAATAAACATATACTTATGAAAGCAAGAAGTGCTTAATCTGCATTGAATCACCTAAAAGCATTTTACATTTCATGCTTTAGGAAACACTGCAATGTGATGTTGCAATCACAGCAGTGATTAAGAGAAGATTTTCTGTAGGAGTAGGTTAAAAACAATCTTTAAGAATTTATTATATAAGATGTTCCTATTTGTTTTAGAAACAATAGAAGATACAGATAAATAAAAGTCATCTATAATCTTCCTACCCAGGAGTAGGCAACTTACCATTTTGGTGGATTTTTTTCCAGCTATTTCCCCTCAGTGTGTATACATATACATATATTGTATTTTATAAAAAATGGTTAATGAATACATCCTGTTTCCTTAATAGCTCTTCATGTTGATATATTATATTTTAGAATAATCATTTTAATGGATATTGGTGCTTGATATGCTAACTGGCTCCCATTTAACACAGACTTTATCCCCCTCCTTAATCTCTGTCTTTTGGACTCCTATTTAGTTTGTACCAACCACCATGGCTTAAGAAATAAAGCCAAAGGACTATATTTCTTTTCCTGATTTCATTTTCTTTTCTGCTCTTGAGTAACCATTATTCTAGAACTAGTACTTCTCATTTCTCATACATAAAAATATTCCCATTACTGTATGCAGATATACTATCAATAATATATAGTATTGGTTTGTAGGCTTTAAAACTTCATATATGTAATGATATCCTACTATATACATCCCTTTTCAGATTGCTTTCTTCACTCAAAATGATGCTTCTAAATTTTATTCATGTTGCTATATGTAACTTTCATTTATTCATTTTAACTGCTGTCTAGTGTCCCATTATCAGTATACTACAATTGACTTATCCATTTTCCTTTTATTCCCCCCTCCCTTTTGAACCTCCCTCCCACTTGCCCCCCATATCACCCCTCTAGGTTGCAGAGCCCAGATTGAGTTCCAAGAGTCATACAGGAAATTCCCATTGGCTATCTATTTTCCATATAGTTGTGTATATGCTTCCATGCTACTCTCTCCATTTGCCCCATCCTCTCCTTCCTCTCCTGCCCACCGTGTCTGTAAGTCTGTTCTCTGTGTCTCCACTGCTGCCCTGCAAATAGGTTCATCAGTACCATCTTTCTAGATTCTATATATATATGCACTAATATATTATATTTGTTTTTCTCTTTCTGACTTACCTCATTCTGTATAATAGACTCTAGGTTCATCCACCTCATTAAAACTGACTCAAATGCATTCATTATTATGGCTGCGTAATATTCCATTGTATATATGTACCACAGCTTCTTTATCCATTCATCTGTCAATGGACATCCATTTTCTACTGATAATAAAGATAAAGAATGACGCTATGTTCTTGTGAAATCTGCAAGAGTTTCTTTAGCATTCATATCCCGAATCAAAATTGCAGGGTTGAAGGGTGAACATTCCTTTAACTTTGCTAGATATCACCTGCCAAACTGCTGTCTAAAATCGTTATACAAATCTACAATACTATCAACAATGTGCAAAATTTCCTGTTGCTTTAAATCCTGATTAACCCTTGATACTGTTACATTTATAATTTCCCCCCATCTGATGGGTGGGAAATGGAATCTATATTAGCCAGGATCCGGTTAGGACATCAGATACCGCACAAGGTACTTCAAACAGAGGGAATTTAATACAGGCAATTGGCTACATAGAGGTTGGGGAACTGACACAGAGATCAAAGATGATAACCTCGGAAAGCAGGTACCACTCTGAGGTGAGGGCTCCGCGGGGTCTGGGTCCCAGTCCATGGGAAAAGAAAAGATGTGGAGAAATTAGGACCTAGGAGTCCTGAGTGAGGGTTCTGGGGCACTCAGAAGGAGGGTCGCCACCTGCTGCTGCTGGTATATTGGAGGGGTCTGCAGAGGCTGGGTTTGGGAGTGCAGAAAGAAAAGTGGAGGCTGCAGCCAGTTGCTGCTGCTGGCACTCTGGGGGTGGTGCTGGCAGGGAAGGAAGAAATAGGAACCCAGTCCTGTCTCCCCTTGCCCTGCCTGCCAATCTTCTTTGAGTTTCTCCCATTGCTGGAACCTAATAGGAAGCCAGCTAGACCTGGAATGTGGGAAGGGGAGAGTGCAGAGTACTGCCCCCAGCAGCAAGAGCAGACAGCAGAAGCCTGGATTTGGGCTGAGAGACATTAAATAAATAACTTGCATAGCATCTCACTGTGTACATACTTCACCTAAGTTCTTTCCATTTTTATGAGCAGTTATTTTAAACAGTGCTCCACAAACACCTTTGCACATATGTTTTCCTTAGAATAAGTTTCTGGAGGTAGAATTACAGAGTCAAAGGGAATGCATATTTTTTGAGACTTTTGATCCAGACTGACAAAAATCACTGGAGGAGTAGGTTTTGAAGGAAAGGGAGTCCCTCCCATGGTGTATTCCTGGAAACTGCATCATAGAGCAGATGGTGACAGAGAAGATAGTCTTTCTACACTGGAGTGCTGTTTTACCTAGGGACTGCTTTCTTTCCAAGGAAAGAATGCTAGAAAATTACAGTTCTGACTATCCTATGTCACTAAAAGAGAAATACAACCTTAAACTTCTATATCATTTACACCAGTTATTTTGGCCTCTGAATTCTGTAAAAGAGATATAAATATCCATTATCCATAGAAAAGCCACAGTGAGTGATAAGTTGTACCTATACAATTAGAGCACACCAGAATATAATTCCATAGTATCATTCATGTAACTTGCCTCCAAATGATACATCCCCACACTAAATGCTCAGTATTTAATTACCTGAGGGTTTGTTGACTTAATTGGGCTTACAGGGGCCAGGAGCGAGAATGAGAAATATGGGAGACTGAAAGGGGAAGCTAGAGGGGACATAGAGAGGGAGATAGTCTGAGTTTGGGAGAGTGGAGGGTGGGGACCAGCTAGCACATGGGCATTCTGGAGAAGTTCGGGGAAGGAGGGCAGCATGGGGATGAAGGTGGGGCAGGGCTGAAGAACAACCTTGCCCACAGCACAATATAGCCAAGACGACTCTCCTGGCCCAGATTTCATGGCCCCTGTCTCTGCTCGGTTCTGTCAAGAGCATGAAACCCTAATTAGATGATTACAGTCATGAGTAGCAGGTAATCAAGAGGTTGGAGCCCCTGTTAATTGGGGGCAGGTATCTGTCTCCAAAGGAGCTGCTTCTCCCAGTGCTCACCTTGGAGCAGGGCCCTGCAGAGCAAAACTGGATACTGTGGTGGCTTTGACGGCATTGTGAGCAATGCAGGGCCTGGGCATTGAAGAAACCTCCTGGTGATTTCTCCAGCTCTGGATGCTTTCTGAAATGCATGTCCAGGGCAGTTGGGAAAATGACCCAAAAACCTTCTCCAGCTCTGGCTCCTCTCTGAATTGCCTCCTGGATATCTCTAGCTGTATGCCCCACAGGTACCTTGGTGTCATCCTGTCCCCAGGTGGGCAGGAATTGTCAACTTGGCACACCATGAGATACTCAAAGCCCCATGCAGAAACTCCAGAAATATTGATTAGATGAAAGAATGCATTTCAAAAGCAAAAACCACCACTTTCTACCTGGAAACAGTTCCATCTCTGGGTTGCCCTGTCTGTCACTTACATCACCATCATCATTGTCAATTTGTTCCTCCATCTTCCCCCTTCTCATACCCTAGCGGTCAACAAGTCCTCTACATTCTACAGCATTTTCTCGTGAATCCATTCTCCACTCTTTACCGACGCAGACTGCCCTAGATCAGTCTCAATCTGTACTGTGTGCCACTCTTCTACCTCCTGATCTAAAACCTCCTGTGGTTCAGCATAAACTCAGACTTCTTTGTCAGGCCTTCAAGGTCCATCCCTGGCCACCGTCATCCTTCTGTATCATCTGTTTCTCCTCTGAATGTCTCCTGTTCCTGCCAAGCTGGCCTCATCCTTATTCCTCAAACATATCCTGGGCTTATTTGTCCTTATATCTGGGCTCATATCCCTGTCCACACTCACCTCTCTTCATCGACTAATCCTGGATTTGATCCTGTCTCCTACCACTGAGTTGAGAATCTGGTTGAACTTACACTGCAAGACCCACTCTATGTTGTCATGTATGTCTAATGATGGTGATAAAACTGAGGCTTTGTTGTGCTCAGGGATGGTCAAGGCCACACAACTGGCATTAGTAATAGCCACCAACCTACTGGCTGTCTTCCATGTTTTAGGTATTCTTCTTGGGATTTTGCATGCTTTATTCTAATTCTCCCAATGAAGTTAGAATACATCATTCAAACGACGATATAGCATTAAAGGATTTCACATCAGCTGTGCTCATTGCCAGGTAGAACTGTTGGAAGGGATTGGCTCAGTTATGACTAGAAGAACAGGTGCTTAGAGTCCTGCTGAGGACACTATGGGTTACCTTGTGGCTGCTGGGTTCTTGGAGAAGGTGAGAGGAAGGAAAGGGGAAATGCAAAGGAAGATCTCCCTCCATTTGTGTCAAATTATTTCTCTCCTGGAGGAAGTTGAGATAAATTATGGGGGTTTAATTTAATTTGATTTTTTAAATTAAAAAATTTAAATTGAAATGTAGTTGATTTACAATG